ATCCCCCTGCACCTCTGGCCTGTACTTCGGTCTTTCATGCATACATAGATTAAATAAATATTTAAGAAAATATATATGTGGGTGTGTGTACATATATGTACATATGGGTACACACACAAAATCAATATTCACAACATTTTAAGGAATTAAAATTCCTCCAGTTCACTCCAGCTATGTATCATATTAGACATTAGTGTGCTATACTTCAAGTGTAGCTCCATTTCTATACTTGTTCTGGGAAAAAAATTATAATGAATTGTGTATAAATGTGAGTTTTTAAATATTTGGCATTGCTGAAGATTTTGAAATCAAAATTAAAATTGAAAAAATTGTATAAATGTTGAGAAAATAAACTCCCCAAAATTATTTTTTATCTTTTGTTGTCAACACTTCACTTGCTTGTAAATAGACTTGTTAAAAGATAAAATACACCTTCCATTTGTGCTGATTTTTATCTCATGTTCAGTGCCATTTATTACAGAAAGATTAAATGACAATTTGTAAATGAATTTATTCAAATTTTCAGTAAGAGAAACTCCACCGAATTATGATTTACTAGTGGTAACTAGAAGTGACATGATGGCATGCAAATGATATATTTATTCTCCAGAAAAATCATAGTGTGCATTGTATAAGTTTTATTAAATATATTCTAGGTTCAATTTACTCCTAGAGAAAAAAGTCAGTGTCTCTCTGAGTCTTGTAGCTTTTGAAGTCAAGAAATAGTTCTCTGAAATTAAGAAACGGGAATAACAAATAGAAATAAGAATTTGTTAGCCAACTAAAAGTGCTGACAGCTCTCATTTGTGGATATTAAAAAGAACATAATTGAATATTTTTGATAGTGTGGGTAGCTACTACGACTCAGCATCACTCTTTTCTTAGGAAGCACCATATGTGAGTGCTGACTCAAACATAACTATCATAGAGAAGGTAGAGAAACAACCTTGGGTCTAACAAAATCATCAAACATTCTGAATATTCATATTAACTGTTAAATGAATTTAATATTTTTAAAAAGTGTGATAGACTTTCTGAGGACTCTCTGTGCTTTCTCGTTCCATTGATGCTATCTGACTACATTGAAAAGCATATATTTACTAACTCCTTAAATTCAAGTCAGTTGCTCATTGAAAATATTGGCAACATTAAAAAAAAATCTGAAACCCTATATTTGTGTTGGCATTATATTCAGATGCAATATGTGATTTTTATAAATTTGCTGTGTTTTACTTGGCTAACTGCCGCGGACCAGAGCAGCAGGAGCAGGAGACAAGTTTCAGGGATGACAATTCTGGCGCAGGGTGGACAAGGATGAGGTTGAGTGACAGACAAACACGACTTTTAGGAGTGCATATCTGAATGTGATTTATTTTTAAGAGTGCAGAGCATTTATACAATTTTTCTTGGCAAGCAAATATAGGAGTACAATGATTCTTTCAATGATTTTTTATTGTTTCTGAGATGATGTCAGGGGCCGGAGACCAACCTGGGGCCCTGAGAAACCATTGTGTATTCAAGGTTCAGTGGTGCTAAACAAATTCCCTATCTATCACTTTTGCCTTGCTAACCCTTTTAGTTGCTCTCTCCATTCTTTTCACAAGCCACCTGGTGTACAGGAGTTAATAGTTTAATAGAATTAAAGATTATAGAAAAGTTTCTCAGAATTAAGTCAGTATCGAGAACAGAGGAAGTTACATTCCTTTCAAGAGTATCATTAGAATAAAGCACAGTGTTCATAACATTTCTTTGGTTTAGTATGTTGTGTGTCAGCAGAATCAGGAAACAAATCAAAAGTTACAGTGACCATTCATGAATCAGCCATTTTTCTATTCCTGGAGGGCCACGTATTCCTACCCTGTGCCCGGTACCTTGACTGTGCCAAGCTCTAAGGATTTCTCACTTAGGCGCCATGGTAGGGGACGTGGCAGCTTACTTTGTATTCATCCTATCATATTTTTTTTAAAAGAAAACCTACTATGTTGGTCACACTTGGTGGATTCATCCAGATAGCAGTTCAATTAAAAATAAGTAAATGAACTTATTTTTTAAAGGAAACCCTTTAGAAACTTAAAAATTACCTTGTCTCTAAATTCTGCATTTTACTTAAGTGTCCTCTCTAGGACTCACAGTAGCACTCCAGAGTTTCTTCATGGCTGTCTTCATTTCTTTGTTTCTCAGAGTATAGATAATTGGATTCAAGATAGGAGTGACAATGGTATAAAATACAGCAAGGAATTTATCCACTGAATGGTTGCTGGAGGGCCAGTTATAAATGAAGATGCAGGGGCCAAAGAAGAGAATCACCACAGTGATATGGGCAGTCAAGGTGGAACGGGCTTTGGACTGCCCAGCAGAAGAGTGGCTCCTAATGGTTATGAGGATTAGACTGTAGGAGATAAGCAAAATAATGAAACAGCTCAGAGAGATCATCCCACTGTTAGCAACAATGACTATTTGTACAATATAAGTATCTGTGCAGGCAAGCTTAGTAACCAGAGGGAGATCACAGAAAATGCTATCCACTACATTGGGGCCGCAGAAAGGCAAATTCACAGCAAAGGGTATCTGAAGCCCTGCATGAAGGAGACCTAAGAACCATGAGGTCGTGACCAGCAAGACACATACTTTCTTGCTCATGATGGTCATATAATGTAGTGGCTTACAGATAGCCACATATCTGTCATAGGCCATGGAGACTAATAGCACCATTTCAACTCCACCCAGGAAGTGAAGGAGAAAGATTTGTGTGAAGCACCCAGCAAAGGAAATAGTCTTATGCTTTTTTACCAAGTTTATAATCATCTTAGGGGTAGCAAAGGAAGCAAGGGTCATATCCACAAAGGAGAGATTCCCAAGGAGAAAATACATGGGGGTGTTCAAGCTTGAGATGTGAAACACTGTGACCACAATGAGAAGGTTACCCGAGACTGTCAGCACATAGATAACTGAGAAAAGTATAAAGAGAAGAAACTGAATCTCCTGGGAGCTGGTCAGACCCAGCAAAATGAATTCTGACACTTGGGACTGATTTAATTGTTCCAGGGACTCCATGTTTGGCTTGTTCTGGGATGACCTGTAGAGAAAAAAAGAATAATATACTATGTAGGTTGTTGACATTTTTTCATTCTTTTCAGTCTTTAATCCTCTTTATATTTTTGAAATTTACTTTTTTTTTTTGTTAACTCTAGAAGGAGGTCACACCATCAAAATTCTGTACCGCTAACATTAAGAAGCAATAATTTATTGATTAATATATTTCTTGGGTCAAGAAACCAATCCATGAGCCCTAATGCTTCTTCATATGACAAAGGAGAAACTATTACCTTGCCAAGTTTTGTGTTTTTCCCGTGAGACCAGATCCCTTAGTCTGAACTCTTAAGGAACAGAGGGGCTCTGCAGATGCATGAATCTGGGAGTTATTGTCTGCCCTCAGATATCTTAAGGAATTCTGATTAGTTGTGAATCAGCCCCAGAGTCTCTGATACTGCAGTTCTGGATAGTTGAGTGAGGTTGGCATGAACCAGGTTGCTGCTTTTCTTCTTGAATTTGTACCAATCCAAAGTGATAGATATCTGATATCTTCCCACTCTTGGAAAGCCTTTCTATGTTCCTAATGTGTCTCAGTTCTTTATACCTCATCTGCTGTGACTGAAACTCAAATACTTACAAAATCCACTTGTTATAAGGGCAGCTGTGACTAAGAGCAGAGATATATATCCTGTTTCTGAGTGGCCCTGTCTTATCTAATAAGGGTCATATAATATAGAGGGAACAAAAAAGACTGATCAGTGTAAGAGTAATTACTTCTAACAACTTTATTTAGCCACACCCCATCTGTTTTTATAAAACTATTCTTTGAGAAAACCAGGTTTTGGAACTCATATATTAGTTACATATTTTTCATCATGCTTCTATTCACATTCACGCAAAATAATACTGACCTGAATATGGAGGGTCACAGCCCTTATCATACCTCAGTCTGGAGCTGCCACTGACAAATTGGCATTATGAGCCTATCTGGAGGATACTATTTCCATATGTGTGTGTGTGTGTATGAGTTGTGTGTGTGTATTTGATGCACAAACGACCTGAATAGGAATACAGTTAATCAGTAGGTGATAAATGAATTTAGCATCATGATTTCTGTGCTTTTCTGACTCGGATGTGATAAAAATGAGAATGACACATAATGAATAGTATTGAAAAGCTGGGGCTAAGAACCAGATATGTCTGGTGTTGGTGACTCATCATTCTCTTTAGGTCTCAGTTTCCCTAATTATATTAAAAATAAAAACAAACAGATGGTTGAACTCAATCTCTGCATTCTTTTAGGCACAGTTTGTACTGGGCCTGTTATTGAGGGACCCATTACTAGCCTTCTAACGCTGTTGTCCCCTTTTCAGAGTTTCACTGGTTACTAGCTAGTTTGATTTTAACTTTTAATCAATTCAGATATAAATAATAAGTGCAAATTTTTGTCTAAAGTTTTTCTATGAGAACTCTTTGCCACCTTTCTTAGGCTGTAGCAGTTTTTTATTTTCCTTACCCAGGGGCGTTTGCATTGCCTTGTGCTCATAGGCTCTTGCCTTTGGTCATCCCTCTGAGCTCACTCTTCTCTAATAGTACCTTACAGCTCAAAATGTTTTGTCATTTTCCACATTTCAAAACTTTACAACATGTAGAACCTTGTGACTGACACGAATTAAATCATTATAGTAACATTATTACATATGCAAGAATGTGAAGCAATAAATGCCCTACACTGGGGCTTTCTGTCTTAACAATTGGAAATTTGGTCTGCAGTGTTATGCTAACAATGAAATGATGCTTGAAATAACTATTTAAGAATATGGGCAAGGCTCACTTTTTAAAAAGTAAAAAATGCACTATACAAAGAATTTCTCGTAATTATTTTTAAAGAAAACTATCAAGTTTTAGATAATAATATTATTGAACATCTTATTCAATAGTAACAGGTAGATCTATAAGAGATATGTGTAATCTCATTACTAGTCAGGAAAAATGCAAAATAAAATTGCAACACATCAATTTTTCTGTAACTGATGAGCATTAAAAACAAGGAAGCAGGCCCTCCCTGGTGGCACAGCGGGTTAAAGCACTGCACTGAGAAGCTTAAGCCACTTCTGCATGAGTTCTATCCCCGCCTGCCCGGAGGAGATCCACATGGTGTGGCAGACCTCTCCTGACCGGCCCGCTGCTCCCCTCAGCAGTGTACTTTGTAGTTCTGCCTGTTCTGCTCCCCACTCTGTCCCTGGTGAATCCTCTCACCCTCCGCATCTCTGGCCTATACCTCAGTTCTGTATGAATAAATAAATAAATCTTTAAAACAAAACAAACAAACAAAAACCAAGGAAGCAGATCTGATGAGACTAACTGAAGGATACTCATGTTATTACAATTATTTTGAAAGAAATATAATCCTATTTATTAAAGTTAAAAAGGCACGTTTCCGGGCCCTCCCTGGTGGCTCAGCGGGTTAAAGTATAGCACTAAGAAGCTAAAGCCACTTAGCATGAGTTCAATCCCTGCCCTGGAGGTGATCCACAGGGCATGGCAGACCTCTCCTGTCCTGTCCACTGCTCCCCTCAGTAGTGTACTTTGTCATTCTACCTGTTCTGCTCCCTACTCTGTCTCTGGTGAATCCTCTTACAGCTCCTGCACCTCTGGCCTGTACTCCAGGTCTATATGCATAAATAAATAAATATTTTTTTTTTTAAAAAAGCATGTTTACTTTTTGTAACATATCCCATGGAAGTTATAACATATAAAAGTCCATGTTGATGGACTTTTATACTAATTTTATCACTGTTAAGGTGTCAAAAGTAGAGTTGGGGGAGAATGCATGCTTCTTTCCAAGGGAATAGTTGAGTATAGCTAGTATATTTATATTTACATTTTGAGATTTCACACAGCTACTATAAAGAATAAATCAGAGCCCCATGTACTGACCTAGCAGTGTATCATAATATAATGCTAAGTGAGAAAAAAGTAGTTGCAGAAAAATGCAAGTAGAAATTTGTTCTCTTTCTTGTGTTTTTATGGTCATATGAAGATTATACCTCAAGCATTTAACATTGATTGGGGGACACTTGAAATGTGGGGAGCACTTTCCTATGACAACAGGAGAGAAAAGAAAAAGAGAAGTTAGATGAAATACAGAAGTAGAATGAAAAAGCCTTTTAAGAAACTGAAAACCGGGGCCTCCCTAGTAGTTCAACAGCCACTTCAGCACAAGTTCCATCCCGGGCCAGGGAGCTGACCCACATGGCACCACGGACCTCTCCTGTCTTGCCTGCTTTTCCCCTCAGCAGTGTATTTTGTTGATCTGCCTGGTCTGCTCCTGACTTTTTCTCTGGTGGATCCTCTCACTGCCCCTGCACCTCTGGCCTGTGCCTCAGTTCTGTATGCATAAATAAATAAATCTTAAAAAAAAAAAAGAAAAAGAAAGAAACTGAAAACTGAGTATGTTCACGTATAAAATGAAAACTCATAAATAATGGGAATGAAAATATTTGTTTTTGAGATAAGATTACAGGTCATTTTTGTATGGATTCCTGAAATTTTGATATAATGTCTATAGTGAAATATATAATTATTGAGGAAGAATGTTTTATTCATTTTAAAGAAATGTATTTTATGTCTGTATTTATAAGACTTTATGTTGGAATCCATGAACAAGCCTAGACATAAAGGTGTTGGCATGGGATAAACCAAAAAGTTAAGTCAAGCAGTAAGATCTGGCATAAGATCTTTATTCAAACGGACTTATGGAAGTAGACAGAGAAGGCAAACTTTAATTCACCAGGGGACATCTAAAAGGAATAAAGTTAACTGTGATCTTACGGTTAAAGGAGATGATGTAAATAATCACTCATTTTTTTCTAATGCCATAGGGGGTGATTACAAATAACCTTAGGGAAGATTTCCTTTTCTAGGAGAAAAAAAAAATCAGTTGTGTGTCCCCTATTAGCACAAGTAGGCACTTTGCTTAGGCAGGGATATAACTGGACATTTTACTTCTGTTTTTGGTGGCTTATCTCCAGTGAAATATCTCCCTAACCCATTGCGCCCAAAGAATCTGAAAGAATCAATGGAACATTTATATCTAAGATTCAAAGTTAGGATTTCCTCTATTAGGAAGACGGTACAAGATTCACTGACATGAACGGAAAGCCAGGGATTTAAGGAGAACTCACATTGGAAGGGGGTAGTGTGGCATGGCAGACTAATTTACCCTAGTTATGGAAATGTTTCTAGAAAGCAGCTGTTTGAAAGTGAATAACAGACCAGTTCCTTCAGTCTTTTGCCAATAGAGGACTTCATGAAATGTAATTTAGTTGGTGAGTAGAGAGAAAACATCTAGAACATTGGATCCCAGGCACGATACACTATTTAAAATCTTTAGAGATATGTGTTGTCCATTAATTTTTCATATTACTCTGATGAGTAAGTATGCTATATCTCAAAAATTAGTAATTAAGAATGCAGTTCTTAAAAGATTGAATATTTTGATTAAAATTTGTGATAAAAGCACTTCGCATATAATTTAGCATTGTGGGTCACACCACAAATGTTACTTGTTATTATTCCTATTATTAACTCCACACCTTTATACAACTTGTGATTAAAGTCTAGGAATTCATGACATCAAATTTCAATGTTATTTAACCATAGATTTCAGCATACCTTCAGCATAGTCTTGCATAACATCACAAGCTTTAAATATTATTATTTTGGATAATACATTTAGAATTAATAGGAAAATACCTACTAAAAAAAGAAAGTGTGAGATAATTGAAAAAGTTTCACTATGACCACAATAGAACACTTAGTAATTTATTTGTGTTATATAGTTGCTATTTGAGTAGAAGTGTCTATTGCCTTTAGTGAAAATCCTTGCATGACCTATTTTATCAGTGAGTTTTCTTGTTATGGAACTGATTCTATGCTATGATTCTCACCGCTTCCTCACAGCAGGTTATAGTCTACTCCACACTTAGTACCTTAGTCTTCACTATAACCTTTAGCTGCAGCAGAAAAATGAAACTTTCAACAGTGAGTTGA